TGCAAGTGTACGTTCTTTCTAGGCCACCATGTACACAAAAACATTATCATATTTCAAGGATATTTATTTATCAATACCAAAATAAATAAAAGAGATTGCCTATTTATTGTCAGACTATACTGTGTTGCTCATAAAGTAAGTAACATTGATATTTTCCAATTACATTGACATAATGACTCGAAGCTGATGATCTTGATGTCATTTTTGATCATCTCTAAAGAGAATGATCTACTTCATGGAGTTAACGTTCTGTCAATGATGAAGTTATTATTTTAGATTGCAGGTGTTTCGTCTTTGTAGGCCACCATCTACACAAATAACATTATCATATTTTAAGGATATTTATATTTCTTTCTTTGTTCGTTTGTTTGCAGAGAAAGAACAGGATTTATGTTTGTTAATGTTTTTAATTACTCTTTATCACTAATGGTATAAACAAGCTTTAATACAGAATATTAATTCTTCAGATTATAAGCTCCATAACAACGAGCAAGTAATGTTTCTTTTTTCATTACACTGATCCAGTTATGTTTCTTTTATGATGTATGAATACTTTTTTCAAATGACAACCAATGTGAAAGGTGGATCTAGGATTTTAGGGCCAGTGGGGGAGGGGCAAAAATAGGGTGGAGATCTTCAACCCCCCCCCCCCAAAAAAAAAAAAAAGATAATAATAATAATAATGATAATAATAATAATAATAATAATAATAATAATAATAATAATAATAATAATAAATAAATAAATAAATGAAAATAAAAAATAAAATAATAATAACAATAATAATAATAATAATAATAATAATAATAATAATAATGAATAAATAAATTTTAAAAATCCCACATATATCTTTTGCATGTTATAAAATCTACACTTAGCGATGACAAGCAAAACAAAAGTCCTCACATATCGGGAACCCCACCCCCTCCCCCCCCCCCCCCCCCTGATCCACAAATGGAGTTGTTTGATTAATATCATTGTTTGTTTCTGTGAATGTAACTTTGTTCCCTTAACGGCATTAAAACATGTATCTTGGGTTTATGGTTTATTAACAAGACTTTATCAAATTTGGTGAAAGAAAATCACAAAAAGCCCACTCCAATTGCAAAAGATATATACAAACGTTAAATTTTTCTTAGACATGATTCGTCTAAATTTGGGCTATGAAAGTGTGGTGATACATCTAATAATTGTCAAGCGGGGAGGTAGGCATAATAAATTGCAATCGTGGAGTTTGTAGATTTGTTTACTTTCCCATCTAAACTTTGAATTAACTCTTGCAAAAAAGGGATATTTTTAGGTCCATTTTTTTTTGGTCATAATAAATAATATACATCATAGAAATAATAGTTTAGGTTACGACATTTGACTGGCGTTCGTCTTCTAAAAAGTCTTGATATATATAATCTTGATTTACTGCGTGGAAGCCATTACAAATGTAATCCCAGAAATCCCAACATCAGTTCCACTTATTCATAGTTCATAAAAGAAATTTGGCTAAGCTTTCATCAATATCAAGGTAAATAAAAGAGATTGCCTATTTATTGTCAGACTATACTGTGTTGCTCATAAAGTAAGGAACATTTGATATTTTCCAATTACATTGACATAATGACTCGAAGCTGATGATCTTGATGTCATTTTTGATCATCTCTAAAGAGAATGATCTACTTCATGCAGTTAACGTTTTGTCAATGATGAAGTTATTATTGTAGATTGCAGGTGTTTCGTCTTTGTAGGCCACCATCTACACAAATAACATTATCATATTTCAAGGATATTTATTTATCAATATCAAAATAAATAAAAGAGATTGCCTATTTATTGTCAGACTATACTGTGTTGCTCATAAAGTAAGTAACATTGATATTTTCCAATTACATTGACATAATGACTCGAAGCTGATGATCTTGATGTCATTTTTGATCATCTCGAAAGAGAATGATCTACTTCATGGAGTTAACGTTTTGTCAATGATGAAGTTATTATTGTAGATTGCAGGTGTTTCGTCTTTGTAGCTAGGCCACCATCTACACAAATAACATTATCATATTTCAAGGATATTTATTTATCAATATCAAAATAAATAAAAGAGATTGCCTATTTATTGTCAGACTATACTGTGTTGCTCATAAAGTAAGTAACATTGATATTTTCCAATTACATCGACATAATGACTCGAAGCTGATGATCTTGATGTCATTTTTGATCATCTCGAAAGAGAATGATCTACTTCATGGAGTTAACGTTTTGTCAATGATGAAGTTATTATTTTAGATTGCAGGTGTTACGTTCTTTCTAGGCCACCATGTACACAAAAACCATTATTATATTGTAGGGATATTTATATTTCTTTCTTTCTTTGTTTGTTTTAAATCGGGGGAGGAGGAGGAGGAGGCAGATTTTGGCAATGCAACGAAAGAATGCAATTTGTGTTTTTAATGATTTTAAATTACTCTTTATCACTAGTGGTATAAACAAGCTTTATTGTTTTATCTACCTTGGACAAAGAATAAGGACATAGAAAACTTGTTTTGCAATTGGCCATGGTATTTATTAGTTCTAAAATATAGAAACTTTCCATCGTCATTAGACTTGTGGTATAACAAATAATTCAAATGAAAATAGTCTGTTAACCTCAAAATAAACAGCAGTTCTCTGGCCTGAGACACGTAGCGTTCACATAAACACTTTCTTGCCTAAAACTGAGAATAACTAAAGCATAGGCCTTATTGGTCATCCTCAGCCGAAAAACCATGTGTAAACGAGGTGAAAACAATACTAATTGCATTAAAATTTCCCATCATTGGCTCGAAGACTGTTCTCTTGCAAACTGGTATGTTCGACATGTGCAAATAAAAGACAATTCCGCGGTGGGGCGGTCAAAATTGTAAAATTTTCTGCCTTAGGACAGGATTCAATACTTTCATAAAGTACTGTCACAGAAGCACCCACTAACAGCCTTTTCACACACAGCTAAAATTCTATAAACATGATTAGTATAAACGTGTTTCGAACGTGTTTAAACTAATCACGAGCCTTTCACACACAGAAATTTCGTTGCGATCGTTAATAGTTTCGTGATTAACTACTGCTCGTAAAATGCGCAGTAGTGCCATTGCGCATTGAAGGTCATGTCATATCAATCAAAGCGCACGCTCCATCCAGTTTAAACACGTTTAACACGAATTTCCTTTCACACACAAAATGTCAAGCTCTCTAGATACGAACTTCGTATCTGCAGCCTGCTTTTAGGGGCGTATGGATCGCGACTTCGTATCTATCCCAACATCGTATAAACGATGTTCACACTGGGAAATTTTGTCTATAAACATGTTTAAAACTGTTGAGTGATTCTAATCATCTCTAGATACGATGAATTTTAGCTGTGTGTGAAAAGGCTGCCTAAAAGCAGGCTGCAGATACGAAGTTCGTATCTAGTGAGCTTGAGATTTTGTGTGTGAAAGGTTATTCGTGTTTAAACGTGTTTCATACGTGTTTAAACTGGGTGGAGCGTGCGCTTTGATTGATGTGACATGACCTTCAATGCGCAATGGCACTACTGCGCATTTTACGAGCAGTAGTTATTCACGAAACGATTAACGATCGCACCGAAATTTCTGTGTGTGAAAGGCTCGTGATTAGTTTAAACACGTTCGAAACACGTTTATACTAGTCATGTTTATAGAATTTTAGCTGTGTGTGAAAAGGCTGTAAGGTGTGATTTCACCATACGTAAGTAACAACAAAATGAATTATTGAACGTGATGTACATCACAAAATTCTTTTTGAAGAAACAAATATATGAAGGCAGGAATTTGATGTCATTGTCCACTATAAACTCAAATGCGGGTAAAAACCGATCTCTCCGAAACCAGATGTAATAACCAACTCAGACCGTATGAAAAGTTCGAGTTCTGGAAAATAAGATCGGGAAAAGCCCCGCAAGGCCCGTGTAATCAATTTGAACGCGACCAGGCGTAGCCCTTGAGAGAGTGGAATGTCGTCAAATTCCCGCTACTAAGATCGACTTTAAGTTGGACTTAAATATCACAGGCTATTCATGCCATCATTTGCTCTCATAGTTTACTGATATTGGTCTCTCATGGACGTTAACATCGTGGTCACAAATCTACAGTTTTTACCTTTTTTGATGGTTTATTATTGAAGGAAAAATATAATCTAAAAATCATAATTGAGAGATCAATGGTGAGAGCAACTACACTGTTAGAAAAAAATTAAACAAGTTGTTTAAAATTTTAAACAACCCCGAGTTAACCGGTGAATCGCTCAACGTTGTTTAAAAATTAAACAAATTAAGGTTGTTTACATTTTGAACACTTAGTTGTGTAAAAATTAGGAAACCTTTTGAACAACAGTTGTTTAGTAATAAAATTGCACAACTCGGTTGTTTAAAGCAAGTTGTTTAAATGTTAAACAATAATGTTTAAATTACTAAGCAACTGTTGTTTATTCAGTATTACTGCACAACTGGGTTGTTTAAAAGGAGTTGCTTAAATTTTAAACAGAACTGTTTAATGGTTATTATCTGGTTGTTTGAATTTGTGAAATGACCTACTGGAACCATGCACTCCTGCAATAATCACAACGATTTATACACTGTAACATGCAGAGCTTGTTGCCAATTTACTTCAACATTTGTTCATCATATTCATGGTAGTGACAAACAACATTATTATTTGTCTCTATAACTTCACCTAAACCCCATCGGCGAAGCCGAGAAGAACCAAGTCGTCGCCTTGCCCTTGTTCCGCCATTTTCGTATGCACTTGCACCGCACACTAGCATTATGCTTGCATGCATGTATTATGTACGTACTTTGTGCATATCGCATGTGTGTGCGCAAATTGCAATCACGTATCGAGAAAATATCAACGACGCCCCCGGGACTTTTTAAACAACTCTGTTTAATTAAATACTTTTGTCTTTTAATACATAGTTGTTTAAGTCAATCGAGCACTGATTTTTCGATTTTGAACAACGTTGTTTACTTTTTTAAACAACATTCTTTTAAACAGTGATATTTTAAACACCGTTCTAACAGTGTAGTGGCACGAATGGCCCGCCATAGTTAAGTCCAACTTAAAGTCGATCTTAGTCTTTGTGAATCACCCCCTGACCTATTAGTTCCTGATCTAATCAATGTTACTAATGATTTCCTCAAGGCCCGGTTCTGTTTGCTGGAATACTGTAGTCATTCCTTCGTAGTGAACAACCAGAGCATTCGTATTGGGCATGAAGCACATTTCGGCAAGCGTCCTCCGGTAAAAAGGTAGCTCGACGTCTATTTCTGCCAGACCACTTGATGAGAGCACCGCCATGTCGAAGTCATCGCTCTCGTCATCGTTATCCAGGAGCATAATGAAGATACGGTCACGTGATACATCCACAGCCATACTCATCAGGTTTTTGTTATGCAGATGATATTTTGACCGAAGGCATCCCGTTTTGTCCAAGACGCGCACATCGCTACAGTCCTTGTCAGCCGGCCTGATGCGGAGAGCGATGTCAGCTGATGGGAGAAGATGAAGTTCGCAGATTGACCTGACGTTGACGTCGATTGATCTGATGAACTCTCCATTATTGGGGTTGAAGACATGGATTATGGGCTCGCCATTAGACGCCAGGATCATATCGTTCCCATCGGTGCAGAGGGAAACAGGCCTTAACTTGCCTAATTTATCGAGATGAATCGTCGTCAAGGGGTTCCAGACAGCGTCGTAAACGACGATCTCGCCGAAACGGGTTCCGCAAACGACCCTACCGTCAAGAAGAGCAGCGCAACTGTAAATGTCATACGGTTTCTTTCCCGAGATCCCCACCCTGGTGTCACCGCTGTGAATGTTCAAAATATGAACCGAGCCATCATCTTTCTTCTTGAGTACTACTTCGTCCTCGTTGATGGCGCCCATCATGTACGAATCCTTACCGAGTCCTGTCGTCCATGTCAGTCCATGTTGCTCCTCCCACCTCTCTGCAGGAACGTTTATTCTCTCATCATATCCCTCGACTGATTCTGCAGCATCTACTAGCTTGTCAACGCCACAGGTGTCAACTTGCCTATGGAGGACATTGGTCAAAGACACAACTGTCTTTTGAAAATCCGGCTGAAGCATTCCCTCGTCGTCGAAGGACTCGGCCTTCTCTACGTTGTTCAAAGTTTGCCGAAGATAGGATTTCATCAAGATAATTTTATCAGCGAACATTTTTTTAATTTGATCGAGCTTATCAAATAGTCCTTTCTCGTTCTCTTTAATTTTGTCTAATTGTTTTTCGGCGTCCCGTTGATTTTCCATCAAATCCTCATATCGTTTTTGCCTGATCCTCTCAAGTTCTTCTTCAGCATTCCTGGTGATGCATTCGGCCTCTCGGTCCCGATTTTCTTCCACCTCTCTTTTCTCTTGAGACGTTGAGTTGCGGATTGCATCTTCGATTGTGGCAAAGTGTTTCTCGATTCGATTTGATCTCATGTCGACCTCGATATTAAATTGTTTGAATTCCCCCGCTTTACTCTTGCATCGTTCCACAAGATTGCCGAGTTGACTTCTTCGCTCTGCCACCTCGGCGTTTAAGTCGATCAAACTGCAACGGCCAATGTGTGACGAAAGGCACTCCAGGCATATCGTCTCTTCGTGGTCCCCGCAAAAGGCCAGTGCCTTCAGTTCAGGATGCCGACGGCAGTTAAAAACCACCTTCTTATCACGGGTCAACTTCCGGATAAAATGCTCCTTCTCCCGAGCGCAGTCATCACATAACCTCATCACCACGCAGTAAGTCTTTTGCTCCTTGTCTTGGTGACAACCCTGGCATGTCTCCACCGAAAAGTGAGCCATCTTGTCAGCGTGGCCAATATGGATTGGGTTATCTGTTGAAGATAATTAAGAGCAAACAGTCCTATAAATATATCACCAGCCATTTCTTTTTAAAGCTCACCTGGATATCCATCTCATATCAAGTTAAAACATTAATTGGGTGCTTTCTTTATGTTATGTTATTTTAGAAGAAAATCAAAACCGAAATGTCCCATTACAATTAATAAGTAACGTAACATCATCTAAAATGATAATAATAATAATAATAATAATAATAATAATAATAATAGCCTAATAGTCCACTCCAAATTCTATTAAACCGAAACGGAAATTCTTTCTGCCCAATTGATCGTGAGCCCGGCAGCCACTGAGCAGCGCCAGATCGATATTAACCTACATTTTCTACTCTCCACTCAGGTGTTAAATGCGACCGTCATTGTTGGTCAGTTATTGACATCAAGTAACGCCTGGCTGGAATGCTCCCCGGGAGTGGAGATTGTGCACACAGTGTGTGCAGACAAGTATTGAATCCATAGACCGGGGTAATAGTATATCTGTAAAGCGTTTAGAGACATCGTAGATGTACTTTAAGCGCTATAAAAGCAGAATATTATTATTATTATTATTAAAGATTTGTAAAAAAAAAAAATATATATATATATATTATTATTATACATCGTCTCAACTAAACGCACCGCACAGCCCGAAGGCACACATTTAGGTTTAAGATGTTCACATACACTCTCCAATTTACGAAACCATATAACTCCCGAGATGTATTTCTGTAACAAAAGTGTTGTTATTAGTGAAAAGTTATATGGCACTGCCGAAGGATTATTCGTCAAGTTCCCTCATACTTTAATTCCAAATGTTACAAGAAATAGCTGAAGTGGTATAGTACCATACAGTAATACCACATGTGTGTACCCAGTTCTGTTTGCAACTGTACTTTCTATCTAAATTGGGTGATGTTCTTAACAATTTAAAGCCCCTCTTAGTGTTGGGAACCCCAAGTTCGCCAAACATTTGATGGCAAAATATCACTTCAATTTTATAATAATGTGAAAAAGGATGTCATAAAAGACACAACTCTGCAAACATTTCCCCCAAGAAAATGTGTTAAAGGACAAATATTGAAGTAAAAATAAGCATAATTTGGGTTTTCTGTTGTACGCAGAAAACCTAAATTGTGTATTCTCTCATCAATATCCGACTTCAATCACATTTTTATTTTTTTGGGGGGTGGAATCTTTGCAGAAGTGTGTCTTAAATTACATTCTCTTTCACTTTATGAAACAATTTAAGTGAAATTTAGGGCTCCCAACATTTTAGAGGGGCTTTAAGCTTTAAAGGAAACCTTAACCCCGAAGAACAAGTGTAGGACTGTAGGAATACTAAGATGAGATGTGTTCTTGCCTTTTGATGTACAATATTCTTTACGAAAGTGCACAAGAGATTTATGAATTAAGATATCCTAGGCATGAGGTAATGCCTTTTAAAGATATAGACCAGTTCTAGTCATGCGATTGCATTGTGAAAGAAATATTGTGGAATTGATCAGAAAAGGTTGATTATCTAGCATATAAGTATTGGTGTTCTTCGGGGTTAAGGTTCTGGAATCATCAAAATGATAAGAAATGTGGCCCAGTCTTACACAGAAAGGTGGATATGGGACTACCTTATATCTATCCAGTCCGGATAGATATAATATTTTCCCGGCAAAATTTGTATCATCACGTATTAGTCAAAACATATTCTTTCACATGATTGGTAATAAGAGCTTCCATTTAATTTTTTGAGAGGGGGGGGTGCGTTTCCAAAACTGGTCACCTTTACCTTTAAGCATGACATGGGCGCAGCCATTTTCTTGAAAGTGTGACGTACAAGGCGAATTTTTACGTGTATTATGCACCAAGCTTTAGTTGAAAAGACTTTTTAATTCAATAACAAAATCGTTACTTTTCAATGAGCGTAAATCATAGCTGATAAGGTAAACATTATCATTTGGTGAAAAATATAAAACAGGGGAACACTTGCAACTCATTATAAAAATTCTTTAATAAAGCAGTTGACAAAATGGGAAGGGAGCATCCATAACTTTAAATACATTTACTTGATAAATGACTTCGCATATAGGACATCACGTTAGCAAGAAAATGGCGATGCCCATGTCGTGCTGGGAAACTTTTTATGTTCTTGCTCTATGCCTAATCTCATACACTTTAGTAGGGAATCTTGTAGATTAATGGGCAATAATACAATAAATCTCTCATTGGGGTGAGGCTTCCGTTATATTTTATAGTATTTACAGTATGTTTCGTTTAGATATCTACCCTTTATCAAAAGTACATGTTAATAAGGATAAAGTACAGGGACAAAATCTTTGATTATAACGAAATATCATGTGCAATAAATTAAGTCAGGAAACATCTTCGTATGTGAACTAGTAGAGCAGTGTGTTTATAAAACAATTCAGACAATAATAGTTGATGGCTCAATGCGTAAATTCACTAAATTCTCTATAATACTGATAATTATTATGATAATAATAGTTATAATAAATTAATAACTATTATAATAATAACAACAATTGTGATAATAATAATAAAATAAAAGTAATGATAATAATAATAAAAGTAACAATTATATTAACAACAATAATAATCGTCATCATCATCATTTGTATTTTGTAATTTTAGTTTTTTTTTTTTGTGGTAAATCAAGTCTTTATTAGAGATCATGTACACACAAAAACCAGGCCCGTCAACCCAGTGGGTTAGGCGGCAGGTTATAATGAACAATATATACAATAGCAAAGTACGTTAACAATAACAATACAAGTTACAGTGTAATAGTGTATGTGATAACAAGGAGCACAGAGATAGAGAGAAAGGGAAAAGGAAGATGTGAAAAGGAGAAAAGGAGAAAAGGAGAAAAGGAGAAAAGGAGAAAAGTAGAAAACATTATGATGAGGAGGGAAATATTCCCCCATACATAGTACATAAATGTATAGTGTATAATTGAATCGAGATAAGTTACATATTACGGTAACTAAATATTGTCATTTTGGTACAGAATGGTTACAAGTTCATTGATAAACAGGAAATGATGAAAAATTAATATATATAGATTGATAAATTAAAGGTATTGATCAAATTGCCATGCTGGCTCACGTCTTCCTTGGAATATAACATAAGAACTAGAAAGAACGGCCTTCACTATTTCGTCCCTGGATTCCGGGTACCTATAGTTGAGTGAGTGATTTTGAGGATTTCCTTTAGGCGGTATTTATTTTGTGGGGTTATGAGTCCACGTGAACCGATTTCAATACAGATTAGTTTGCTCTTCCACCCTGTTGATGTTATGTCGTGTGTGAGGCTTGTGTATTTGTCTTGTTTTCGTTGATGTGCTTTGTCAATGTTTGTTTCGAAGGGGACTGTGAGTTCGATGATGATGATGTCCTTATTTGTGTTTAATGTGGCAGATGTCTGGTTTGTGTTTGGTACGTATTATGTTTGGTGGTATGGTGCCCCCAATGATGAACAGTGTGTTTATAAAACAATTCAGACAATAATAGTTGATGGCTCAATGCGTAAATTCACTAAATTCTCTATAATACTGATAATTATAATGATAATAATAGTTATAATAAATTAATAACTATTATAATAATAACAACAATTGTGATAATAATAATAAAATAAAAGTAATGATAATAATAATATTAGTAACAATTATATTAACAACAATAATAATCGTCATCATCATCATTTGTATTTTGTAATTTTAGTTGTTTTTTTAATCTATAAGCTATCGTTTAGCCATCCTGCTGCAAAGATAATTCTGTTTTTATAAATCTTGTATCTTTGAATCTCTAGTTTACACAAAGAACCATAATCTTCGCCTACGTACGCGCCTGTCGAATCTATACATTCTCTTCATACCTACTAGGACAGTGAACTTTAGTCCCTTCATCTTTACAATAATCTTATCATCCTTTGGAGCCTCTTAGTCAGTATATTTGGTTTGATTTGATTTATTTACTTATGTTTGATTTTCTCTTTCTTTTGCATTTTTTAAAATATATAACAAACAAAACATTGCAAATGTTACACATGTCAAAAGAATATAATGTCGAATAAAGTAAGGCTGGCTGTATATCGAAAACATCAAACAGGAGGGTTGACAAAGTAAGCAAAGCTTGATAGCAGGACTACATTCAATGGATACATAATAATACGGCGAATATGGAGGAACAAATATTAGTAAAAGGGGGAAGAGAGAGAGACAGAGAGACAGAGAGACAGAGAGAGAGAAAGAGAGAGAGAGAAAAGAGGGGTGTATATTCACAGATGTATTTGGTACCATGTAGTTGGATTCCAATTTGATATTTGAAGATAAAAAAGAAGATGCACATTTGAATATTGGGTGGTCAACTTGGGATATATTATAGTATGTGAAGACTCACGAGGTTTCAGGACAATATAAATAAGAATGTGAGATCAGCGAGCTGGTTTATATAGACTGTGAACCTTTGTGTGTACACAGAAAAGTGTTTATTCAGTATCCCAAATAGGCCACGGTTTATTGTCATACTTTATTCATACATTTATTGGAAGGTTATAATCAACGTTTCAATGGATGGAAGCAAAAATGTAAGAGTACTGAAAATTATCGAGTTTTGTAACGACGGGTATACGAGGGGAACTTGTGAAGATTGAAGATGAGCTAATTTTGATGGTGGATTTAAAGATAATGCGCAATAAGAAACGTTTTCACCGCTCTTTTAAAAGATAGCATTGTATAAATCGATTTTCTTTCAGGGGGTATGCATTCCAGGGGGGCGTTTCATGAAACAATTAAGTCTAATATTAGACTAATATCATGTTCACCGACAATTTAGTCAGCGCTGACTAAATTTGACCAATCACAGTCCTGGAAAATAGTCGGTGACAAAAGAATTGTCGGAAAACATGATATTAGTCGGTGATAACCACCGACTAATTGTTTCATGAAACGCCCCAGGTATCAGGGCCAGAATGTCTAATTGAGTTTTGAGCTAAGGCTGGTTTGGCGTTAAATAGGTGATAGTCATTGGAATGCCTAGTTAGGTAGGAATGAAAATTAGCATTATGTTGGAATAAAATAACTAGTAATGGGGGAGAATGCCGGATTTAAGTCGAAACATGAACAGAGATTTTTGCATGTAGTGGGTATCACTTATTTTTTAGAGTTTTTAACGTGGCAATTAAAGGGTCAGTGTGGTCGCGATAACCTGCATCGGTACAAACTCGAATTGCTTTTTTTTTTTAACATTAATATACGATTAGTATTGCACTTAATATGAGTAGCCCATATGATATTGCAGTAAGAAATATATGGTAAAACTAGTGCTTTATATAGCATACTAAGCACATGCGTTGGCAAAAAAATATTTTAGCTCAAATAGTATACCAATATTGCGAGAAATAGGGGTAGAGATATAGTTCACATGATCATTCCAGTTACATTTTTCCATTTATAAATACACCTAAGAATTTGGTTGATGACTTTTCTTCTATTGGAACATTATCAACAAGGAGCTGATTGATTGAAAAGGTTTTATTATGATTGCATTTTGCAGCCAAATGCCTGAATTATAATTGGCAATCATACGTACAAATATGGTTTAAAAAACGAATCAACTCTGATATGAGCTAGATGCTATTTGTACAAAGTATAATATATATAACAAAATTAATGACCAACATGACTAGGGCAATAACAGACACAAAGGAAAAAGACAGAGAAAAGGAGCAAAGGAAATTAAGTTACATTTTGTGAGGTGGCACAAGATGATTACAATTTACATGCAACGCCCGCATTAAACCATTCGTTGTCTATGGTTTTTATACCATGTATTTTATATCATACATCCAAACTCGTCTGTCAAGGCCACCCGAGGGAAAGACAACAAGTGGCCATTGTAATAGGGTGGCCTTTATTTCTAGATTGGTTCTTTAACACATGTATCATATTGATATTGGTGACAAGTTTGACTGTAGGGCTATGTACATGAGCAATCTGATCTTAATTTCATCAGTCTACATTCCTATCAGTGATATATATAACACTACCCATACGAAGCTTTCAGATTACAATTCTGTTATTAGGTCAGTTTAGAATATACAAATCTGTGTAGATCGTGACGTAGCATCAATATAGCTCCATATTTTCAAATTGTTCCTGCCCTGTAAAATCAACAGGTGGGGCGACAGAGCTTTACCACCATGTCACAATTTGGCATAACGCCTTCTTCTAATTTTTAGTTTGAGAAAGTCGCTTTTCTATGTAATGTTATCTTTCCAAACGTATAAGACTGTTTTAGATTGAAACACCCACCAGGGGGTGTTTCACAAAGATCCTAAGTCAAACTTAACTCTAAGTTGGACTTGACAATTATGGAAAGCCGTTTAGCGTCTTTGAAAATATTATAAAGGTTGTTTTATAAGACACACAATGTTGATTCAAATCATTAATACTTTCCATTATCAAGAAGATTTCATGCTCTTGATGTGGAATTTATGAAAAGTCTAAAATACTTGGAATTTGGCTTTTGAATATATGGCTACAAAAGGCTCACCATAATGTTTAAGTCCAGTTAACTTAGTGTTAAAATCCCTCTGCACTAGTTTGGCATGGAGGGATTAGACCTACCTGCGAGGTCACTGGCAGGTGGTTATCTCATCAAATCAGCTCTCAATTAACATACGAAAAGGGGCATCATGGGGATCAACAGGTACCACTTAGGCATTGTTGGCTGTATAGAGGGCGCAAGTAGCTATAAGTAATGCAGTGGGGCTTAAGTTCGAATTTTTGTGAAACACCACCACCCTACACATATTTCACTTGAGTCACAAGGTCGCCAATGAAGGCGTTAAAAGGCGGCGGCATGGCAAGCCCGCCATTACCTGGACTAGTATAGTATAAGGCCCTACTTCAATGTTAATACTTTACTCCCTTACCTCACACAGTTTCTTAGACTTTGTTAGAAATCTCCTTGTTCCTTGATGACAATCCAGAACTTCCAACTTCCAGTCAGCTGCAGTTCGTAATCCTCAGAATTTGTATGCATGTACCAGGGAGATCTCCCTGCATGTAATAGTCGTGCTATTTGTTGAACGTGATACAGGCCTACATTGCAATATTGCACTGGTCTGTCTATACGGACGCCAAACGTGTTTGTGAATATAACATGGTTACGCGTGATGACTCTGCACTCATCTGAATCCAATAAATGTTTGTTTGTTTTTCAATTTTTTGTTATGCTACGGTCACAAAGGTTCGTACGAACGATAATTTTGTACGAATCTCTCTGTTTTTCCATTGTCTTCCCGAATTTCCATTGTCTTGTGACCGAGGCTTTAATGACGTAACATTTTCTTTAGGGGGATTCCCATTTCTACCCCAGTCGCACCGCTGTAACCGAAACCAGTCTGACAATAAATTATGGATGGCCGAGCTAGACTGACGGGTTGGTTTGGAATCGTGGTCTGGAGTCTCTTGTTGACCTATGACCTTTGGAATCTATGAACAAATAGGTTCTATAATTATCCTCGTAATGTTGTTATTGTTGTTATCATGATTTTCAAATGGGACAAATCCTTTCTTTTTTTCCTCCTTTCTATCTTGCTTTCATTCTTTCTCTATTCATTTTTCTTTCCTTTATCCCCCCCCCCCCCCCACCGGTTCCTTTTTGGCTTGTTTTTGTTTGTTCGTCCTTTGTTTCTAATTATTTTGTTTCGTGGGGGTGTGGGGGTGTCATTTTCTCCTTAAATGCCATATTGTAAAGTGGCAAGAAGAAAAAATGTACCAAGTGTTCACAAATATTATTAGCTTTGAGTCATTTATTATTGAGCAGCGGTACCACGTACCGCAGTACCGCATAGGCGATGGCTGAATGGTTTCAAAGACACACAAAGAAACACCCCTGCCAAATACACGTAGGTGGATGCAACTCTGCGCCCCAATTGCATCAGTATTATAGTGTGTACTTGAACAAAAATGAAAATGTTCGTGAATATCCTCTATAATGACATGAGCTACAAAATAATATAATAAGAAGTTAAGAACGGCATGTATCCTTAACAAATAAAAGAAATCTGACTAACAAATATTGTTTGTTGCCTGTGGTGTTTTAATCCTAAGGGGAGAGGGCTAATGATACGATTGGCTTCAAAGGTATGGACCAGTTTTGGAAACGCCCCCCTCTAAAAAAAAATGAAATGAAAGCTCTTATTACCATTCATGTGAAAGAATATGTTTTAACTAATACGTGATGATACAAATCTATCCGGACTGGATAGATATCGCGTAGTCCCATATTCATCTTTCTGTGTACAGTGCTTGTAACTTTACCAAGACTGTGAAAACATGCAAATTAATCATGAATATGCATTGGATACATTGAACTGGTTTTTCAACTGGTATTCTACTGGTTTCAACTGGTAAATCAACTAGCAACCATCTACTTGTTTTCAACTGGTAATCATCTATTGGTTTCCAACTGGAATCAGCTAGTATCAAATGGTCGAGTTTGGCCACTGTGCTGCAACTGGAATGAACTAGTAGATTTACCAGTAAGGCCCATCGGTTTTAACTTGTATCAACTGGTCTAATAATTTACCAATATGCGCCTAAAGTTTATGGCTTTAAAATGGAACCAACTGGTGAACTACACCCATGGATGGCCGAGCTAGACTGACGGGTTGGTTTGGAATCGTGGTCTGGAGTCTCTTGTTGACCTATGACCTTTGGAATCTATGAACAAATAGGTTCTATAATTATCCTCGTAATGTTGTTATTGTTGTTATCATGATTTTCAAATGGGACAAATCCTTTCTTTTTTTCCTCCTTTCTATCTTGCTTTCATTCTTTCTCTATTCATTTTTCTTTCCTTTATCCCCCCCCCCCCCCCACCGGTTCCTTTTTGGCTTGTTTTTGTTTGTTCGTCCTTTGTTTCTAATTATTTTGTTTCGTGGGGGTGTGGGGGTGTCATTTTCTCCTTAAATGCCATATTGTAAAGTGGCAAGAAGAAAAAATGTACCAAGTGTTCACAAATATTATTAGCTTTGAGTCATTTATTATTGAGCAGCGGTACCACGTACCGCAGTACCGCATAGGCGATGGCTGAATGGTTTCAAAGACACACAAAGAAACACCCCTGCCAAATACACGTAGGTGGATGCAACTCTGCGCCCCAATTGCATCAGTATTATAGTGTGTACTTGAACAAAAATGAAAATGTTCGTGAATATCCTCTATAATGACATGAGCTACAAAATAATATAATAAGAAGTTAAGAACGGCATGTATCCTTAACAAATAAAAGAAATCTGACTAACAAATATTGTTTGTTGCCTGTGGTGTTTTAATCCTAAGGGGAGAGGGCTAATGATACGATTGGCTTCAAAGGTATGGACCAGTTTTGGAAACGCCCCCCTCTAAAAAAAAATGAAATGAAAGCTCTTATTACCATTCATGTGAAAGAATATGTTTTAACTAATACGTGATGATACAAATCTATCCGGACTGGATAGATATCGCGTAGTCCCATATTCATCTTTCTGTGTACAGTGCTTGTAACTTTACCAAGACTGTGAAAACATGCAAATTAATCATGAATATGCATTGGATACATTGAACTGGTTTTTCAACTGGTATTCTACTGGTTTCAACTGGTAAATCAACTAGCAACCATCTACTTGTTTTCAACTGGTAATCATCTATTGGTTTCCAACTGGAATCAGCTAGTATCAAATGGTCGAGTTTGGCCACTGTGCTGCAACTGGAATGAACTAGTAGATTTACCAGTAAGGCCCATCGGTTTTAACTTGTATCAACTGGTCTAATAATTTACCAATATGCGCCTAAAGTTTATGGCTTTAAAATGGAACCAACTGGTGAACTACACCCATTGTGTTTCAATATGTTCCAACCAGGCGCGTACGCAGGATTTTTTCAAGGGGGGGGTTGTAACATTTATAAATCGGGCCGAAAATTTCGCAACGACTCAGCCAGCCGCTGAATAAGCGGGGGGGGGGGGGGGGGGGGGGGTAAGGTAAGAGGTCACTTTTTTTTTTTTTTTTTTTTGGTCCCAAAGATTCATCCGACCGCTGAATAAGCGGGGGGGGGGGGGGGAATAAGAGGACACTTTTTTTTTTTTGGTCTCGAAATTTGAAAATTTAACATTTTGCTCCGTTGGGGGGGGGGGGGGTAAGGTCAGCTTTTTTAGGTCATCCATGAGAATTTTTTTTTTTTTTTAATAAATAAAAAAAGTTAAAAAAATTATTAAAAAAACCAAAGGGGGGTTTAGGGGGTTATGGGGGGGGGGGGGTTTACACAAAAAAAAAATACCAAAGGGGGGTTTAACCCCCCTCCCCCCTGTGTACGCGCCTGGTTCCAACTGAAATTAAATGGTCCACTTTGGTTTTATTGGTTTTCAACTGGAATCAACTGGCAGAAGTACCAGTAAGGCCCATTGTTTTTAACTGGTATCAAACTGGCCAATTTAATTCCAGAATGCATAATTGGTTTCAACTGTAATCAACTGGATTGTTTTCAGCATGTGCCAGTAGAGTCGATGGGATTCAACTGGGATATACTGGTGCGTTTGAAGTTTACCAGTTGTATCAACTGGTTTCAACTGGTACCAGTTAAATCCAGTTAAAACAAGTAGAATAAACTGGCACATATTCCAGTTGATACCAGTTGAAAATCCAACTGGTTTCAACTGTGTTGTGTTTTTTTTACCTGGGACAACAAAATCATCCACCACCAACACATCACACAGTCACGTGCAACCACCATAGTAAAAGAGAGAATTAGAACAAAATCTAACCCTGTTGGAGAGAGTAAGCATGGGACGACGATAAATAAACTATTCTCATAATGCCTTTTACAATACTAAATTTCAGCGTGATGAATAATATGGTAATAATTAATATTTCAAGGATCGCTGTAATGATGAATAATAAATTACGCCTATGTTCGATCTCTATATATGCTGCTTTTGCTGTTTATTAAGAGCACCCTCTTTTGTTGAGTTACATGTAGGAGGAAAATTAGTCCCTCTGTGATAAGGATGTACACAAGTATACTATTTTTTCAGTCCTCATTGAAACTGATTGACAGAAAAAAAATTAAGTTTCTGCGTACGAGAGGTTTTTTAAGTTTGATATTTTGGGGTGTGAGGTTTGGAGGATTGTGGATTCTGGCATTCATTTTCTCTTCATGTGCCTCGCTTGATTCCATTTGTATATAATCAAATGACAAAATTGGTGGTGTTTTGCGGAGGCGCTTAAAATTCCCAAATTGTGTTTGATATCGCAAATAAAGATGTCACGTCTCCCAAGTCCCAACTCTTCATTTCGTTAGCAAAGTATCAAAAGCTTCCGGCAAATTAAATATCAAACAGAAGACAAATAAAAAGGGAAAAAATAGAAAAATATAAATAAGAACCCAACCTGTTGTGGGTTATAATTATTTTTAGGACTGGTTGCTGACAAATCATGATAATGAAAGTCCATCCGTCTATAAATTCCTTTAAATGTACATAACAATTGGTTGTCTCGGTTTGGCAGATTTTGTTACAATTTTCACCAAAGGTCAGTACAGAAATCTCTAAAATTCCTTTCCTCATTGAAGGATTACTTGAAGAATTTGGATACTAAATTTAGCATAAATATATCAAAAGATCAATGAATTCAATGAGTTTAAATATAGAATATAGGATGAACATTTATATTGTTCACGTCACGTACCCCGTACACAATATACAGTTGTGTGCTACATCAGCGGGTTTAACAGTCCAGCCCCTTGCATTACTCGTTAGTCTTTCAGGATGGACTAACAGAGCAGCTAACTATCGTGTCATAATTCCAGCTGCTAATGGAAAAATTATCTTACTTATTCATCTATGTTTATATTCTCTGACAAAATGCAATAATAATCAGGAACATAAGCTCATAACAGTAACAGAACAAAACAAAGAAGAAAATATGTATATTCATGTTCACAGATTATTTGGTATCCTCGTAATAAACATGTGGCCTTTTTCAACATTTTCCTTTTGTTATTTGTAACATCGTTAACGTATATTAGACGGTAATCTGTTAATATATCAGGTGAAATTATAATATTAATTTTCAGACATCTTTATGTTTTGAAAATAGCCCGGGAAAATAGCCCCATATAGTTTCGGAAGCTCTTAAACAATATCATCATTAATAGTGATCTGTCAGTTTATGACAGGTTCAGTGACCCATTCAAAATTCTATA